TTTCTGATAAAATTGCCACTAAAATTTGTCAGGATCTGACGCTAGATAATGGGAGGGAACTTGTGTGCATATGTGACATGGACCTTGTATGGAGGTCAGAGGACAACTTTCAGGAGTCAATTATCAGGTCCTTCCACTGTGAGTTCCAGAATTGAACTCAGATCAGGCTTGCACAGCAAGTGCTTTTACCCACTTGTCCATCTCACTTGCCCTCCTGGTTAACTTTTAACTTCTTTGATCATTGGTTCTCAACCTGTAGGTCGCAACCCCTTTTGGGGGTTGAAAGAACTTTCACAGAGATTTCCCAGGACCATTGAAAAACACAGATATTTACATTACAGCTCATAACAGCAGCAAAATTACAATTATGAAGTAGAAATGAAAATAATTTTATTAGTGGATTGGTATTTATCCCTAGTATACAAATGGACTTTGGGAGCCCTCACCACATAGAGGGATACTCTCAGCCTGGACACACAGGGGAGGGTCTGGGCCCTGCTCCAAATGATATGACAGACTTTGAAGCCCCCATGGAAGGCCTTGCCTTCCCCAGGATTGGAAAGGGGTTGGGCTAGGGCGGGAGATGGGGAGGAGGGAAGGGAAAGGGAGCTGGGATTGACGTGTAAAACAAGGTTGTTTCTAATAAAATAAAATTTAAAAATAAAAGAAAGAAAATAATTTTATGGTTGGTCACCACAACGTGAGAACTGTATTAAAGGGTCACAGCATTACAAAGGTGAGAACCACTGCCTTCGTTGCTGGTTTTTTTGTTGTTGTTGTTGTTGTTAGCTGTTATCTTTTTATCACTTTCATAGTATCTTGGCTATTAACTTGTAGTTGGTTGGGGTGAGGGTAGTGGCCTTGCCATGTTGCCTCAAAGTCTTTTTATTATGTTGTTTGTATCTTAGCTATTAACTCATTGTTGGTTGGAGTAAGGGCAAGGATTTTGCCATGTTGCCTCAAACTGGCAGTCATTCTGTATTATTGCCCTCCTCCTAGCACAGATTATTAGGTCAGGTTTTTGGCTGTTTTTTTTTTTTTTTTTGTAATTACATTTTGATGTAATGTGTGTGTGTATGATGTGTGCATATGTATGTGTGTATCCATGCACGTGCCTTTTGAGAGTTTTTTTCTTTCCTTTTACTGTATTATTGAATTCAGATTATCAGGCTTGGCAGTAGGTACTTTTACCTGTATATGCCATCTCCCTAGCCCCATTTATTTCATTTATTTGGAGGGTAATTTTTTGTGTTTTTTTGTTGTTGTTGTTTTGAAGTGCAATAATAGGTGCTATGTGGTGAATTGCCTTTAAAATACCTTGTAATTCTGAGGTGACCGTCACTACCACTGGTCTACATTGAATTTGAATAAATGATCAATTTTTATTTATTTTATTATTTATTTATTTATTTTTGCTCTGAATGTGTTTTGTTTCTTTTTCTTTTTTTTTTTCAACTGTAAATTCAGGCCATGTTTGTCTCTGACTTGATGTGAATTTTAAGAAATTATTATTTGAACCTGGCAGTGATGGCGTAAGCCTTTAATCCCAGCACTTGGGTGGGAGGCAGAGGCAGGTGGATCTCTATGAGTTTGAGGCCACCCTGATCTACAATAGTTTTTCCCTAGGTATTGTATTTTGTATCTACAATACTTTTTCCCTAGGTAATAGTTCTAGGACAGCCTCCAAAACCATAGAGAAACCCTGTCTCGAACCCCCCCCCCAAAAAAAAAAGAAAGAAAGAAAGAAGAAAGGAATATTATTTGGTGTGTGTGGGTGATTTGTCTGCATGTATATTGGATTCCAAATGTGTTCAGGGCCCTGGAGGCCAGAAAAAGGCTACTGGAGTTACAGATGATTGTAAGCCATTGTGTGGGTGCTGGGGATGGAACCTGGTCCTCTGGACTACCAACCAGTGTCTTAAACCAGAGTAATCTCTCTAGACCCTGATGTGAACATTAACTAAATCAGTATGACTATTCATGTTTACCTGTTTACCTTTACTATAATAAAATCAGGACTTTTGAGTATTTTTAAAAATATATACATATGAATTGAATGAAATTCCTTCTTTCCATAAAAACAAAAACCCACTTTATTTATGCTGTGGAGTGATATTAAAAAATAAAGTATCTCGGCTGGAGAGATGGCTCAGAGGTTAAGAGCACTGACTGCTCTTCCAGAGGTCCTGAGTTCAATTCCCAGCAACCACATGGTGGCTCACAACCATCCCTCATGAGATCTGGTGCCCTTTACTGGTGTGCAGATATACATGGAAGCAGAATGCTGTATACATAATAAATAAATAAAATCTTTAAGAAAAAAAAAAGATGTCTCAAGCTTGGTGGCGGCAGCAGTATTAAGCACCTTAATCCTAGCACTGGGCACTGGGGTCAGGGTAGGGGAGTCAGTGTGCAGAAGCAGACAGATTTCTGTGAGATCAAGGCCAGTAGAGCTGTTATACAGAGAAACAAAACAACAACAAACAAACAAAAAGTTTGTAATCTTGACTCAGTTAAGAAGAACATAAGCCAGTTGTTTCTGTAACTGTATTTCATTTGTTTCTAGAGGTGTAAGAAAAGGTTTTTTTTTTTTTTTTCCTGTAATTCCTATAATGTGAGCCCCTTTTATTTTAAAATATAGCTAAGTCTATGGAAGTCTAACATGTGCCGTTTTCTTGTAGGTTTTGGCTTGGTTTGAAGAAGGTGAAGAAACGATTACAGCCTTTGTAGAACCTTTTGTAATTCTACTTATATTAGTAGCCAATGCAATTGTGGGTGTATGGCAGGTAAGTATAAAATTCCTGCAGTTAATATTTTAGTAGTTTGTGTGATTTTAAACAAGAGAGAGAGAGAGACATGGCAATATGGAACTAAAGTTGTAATTTCTAACCTAAAATGTTTAAGAAGGCAGGCTGGCTGGTTTACCGTACTTGATTTTTCTTTATACAGGAAAGAAATGCTGAAAATGCAATAGAGGCCCTTAAGGAGTATGAGCCTGAAATGGGGAAAGTGTATCGACAGGACAGGAAAAGTGTGCAGCGAATTAAAGCTAAAGACATAGTTCCTGGGGATATTGTCGAAATTGCTGGTGAGTTAATCTTTTTCCCTAGGTTTTATTTCTAGGGCGGTCCTTTTTTCTCTAGGTTCAGAATTATATTTAGTTAGCTTTTTGTGTTTAAAGTTTTTTTATTTTTTTATTTTTTTTTTAATTTTATGCACATGGGTGATTTGCCTACATGTGTTTGTGCACTTGGATATGTGGCTGGTCCCTACAGAAGAGGGCATGGGATTTCTGGAGCCGCAGTAACAGATAACTGTAAGCCAACATGTGAGTGCTGGGAATTGAACTCAGGCTGTCTTGAAGAGCAGCCACTGAGCCATCTCGCCAGCCCTGTTTTTTTTTTTTTTTTTTTTTTTTTTTTTTTTTTTTTTTTTTTATCAGTTATACCATTTCAGTGCTTGTTTGAAGTGTTTCAGCACCTCCCTTCATATTCTCAATATGAAGTTTTGAGGTTTTTTTTTTTTTTTGATGGAGTTCCACTATGTTGCTGAGTCTGGTCTCTAACCCCTACCCGCTTCCTGCTTCAGCATCCTAAAACGTTTTTGTGTTTTGGACAAGGTGTTGGAGGTGTTGTAGTTACTAGTTGGAGTTGTCAGTTGTAGAGCACTATTGCTGGTTATGGATCAATTAGCTGTATTGATCAATTGGTTATAGCTGCTAAGTAGCTACCTGCTGTTTTTAAAGTGGGTTCTCAACTCAGGTCCTCATGCTATTATGGTGCATCCTTCACTGACTAAGCTCTCTCTCCAGTTCCTCTTTCTTTTTTTTTTTTTTTTTTTTCTTGGTTGATTCTGAATTGTTTTTTTTGTTGGCTTGGGACTTTTAGCATGGGGTCTTGCTATGTAGCCCTGGCTGGCCTGCAGTGTGATAGGTTTGAGACAAGGTTGGCCTCAAACTCACAGAGATTCTCCTGCCACTATGCCTTTTGGATTGTAATACCATGCCTGGCAACTATTTAATTTTTTTGAAACAAGGTTGGCTTTATATAACCCAGGTTGGCGTTTAACTCGCTATGTAGTCTAGACTCTGCTCAACTCCTGATCCTCCTACCTTTACCTTTTAGGTCCTAGAATTAGTGGTGTGTGTCACCATCCTGGTTTTGGCACAATGTTAACTCATGTTTGTAACTATCAAACGGAGTTGTTTATTTCATTTTTGGTTGTTCCATTGGTAGAGTGAATGGAGAAGAGTTACTGCACAGGATTTCTCAGAGGTTGTGTTTATTACATCTTTTTGAGTCTAGATTTGTTTGCTTTTATGTAGTGACTTATAATTAATCCTTCTACATTGGTTTAGGGAAAATGGGCTTTATTGTTACTGTCTTATTAATTAAAATAATCTTTCGTTTGGGGGGGTTTTTGTTTGTTTTGTTTTATTTTGATTTTTCCTGAGACAATTTCTCTGTAACAGTTCCGGCTGTCCTGGAACTAACCAGGCTGGCCTCAAACTCACAGAGATCCACCTGCCTTTATCCCTTGAGAGCTGGTATTAAAGGCGTGCGCCACCACACCCAGCTTAATTAAAACAATTTTTAAAACCCCATCTTGAACCTGTGCTCTACAGCTCTTATGTCAGAAAGAAATTTGGCTTTTCTTAGACTTCTATTGATGAATTTTGTTACTGTTCTAGAATATAGGGATAGTTTGGATAAGTACCAGTAAGTTAATTGTTTGGGACTGCAAGCTTATGTGTATAACTACTTTGAGAACACTGTTGGGACCATGGATGGTTGAGTGGGTAAAAGCTCTTACCATTCAATACTAGTGGTGACCTTACTTTGATCCCTTTATCCCAAATTGGAAGGAAAAAACCAGCTCCTGAAAGTTGTCCTCTGACCTGCACATATTTGGCAAGGCATACTCGGGTTCATGTGATCACGTGTGTTTTTTGTGCATGCATAACATTTTCGTTATTGTGTTTTTGTTGTTGGTTGGTTGGTTGGTTTGGTTTGTTTTCTATGTAGCCCAGGCTGTCCTGGTACTATGTAGATCAGGCTGGCCTCAAACTCACAGAGATCTGCCTGTCTTTGTCTTCCAATTGCTGGAATTAAAGGCAAATGCCACCACCACCCAGCTTTTGTTTTTTTGAGACAGGGTTTTACTGTAGCTCAAACTGATCTTGACCTCAGAGATTCACCTGCTGTTGCCTCCAAGGTGCTGGGATTAAAGGCATGTGGCTGCCACTGACTGGTTAAATATTTTTTAATTTTTAAAAAATAGCACGGTTAAATACTCAAAAAACTTGGGTTGAATATTCAAAAGAGAAAAAAGTTGGCTAAATTTATTAAATTTTACTTGAATAAATATAATCAGTAGTCAGTACCTACATTTAAGTCTATGTCCATTTGACCTGTTTCTGAATTCTTCATAGGCAGTGCTAACAACTCCTAGTTGGCCACTTCTGCGTATGCGTTATGGAAAGCTTAGGCAGTGCTCTGACCTTGTGCTAATGCTTGCTTCTTGGACTCTGATCATTCTGAGAGGTACAAAACACAGTAATGACTAGGTTTTTTTACATAGATATTTTGTTAAAGGTTTCTATACTTCTTTCTTTCTAGGCATGTGCTAAGTACTTTAATGCTGACCAAAACATGAAATCAAAAATGTGGGTAGATGCAGCTAATAAGTAGCCTTATTATAAAGTTTGCTCTGCAGAACAGACTGTGAAAGTGTGTGAATGTGTTGAGAAATAGGTACTTTCAATGAGTGGCTATTTCGACAACTTTACAAATATTTGGTTAATAGCCACCAGTACCTCTAAATATGTCTGTTTACTTTCTCTAGTTGTAGAAAATGAACCACTGTATTTTCTGGACAATATATACGTGATAAACATATACAGGATATGTGTATAAGTCACATTTCAATTTGTTGATGGCTCAGATCACCACTTTTTAGCATCTTATTGATATAGTTCATATGCCATACAACCACTTCCAGATTGTAGTTTTAGACTGTTCACAGGCTTATCTGACCATGATTAAATTCCAGAGTTTCATCTGCTCAGAGAAACCCATCTCTATTAGCAATTGTTCCTTTGTCTTCTAACTGTTCCCTAGCAACAACTTATTTGGATTTTGAGTTTAACTTATTCTAGACATTGCATACTGTATGGGATGTTTTGATACACACACACTCACACACAACTTTTTTTTAAAAAAAGAAAAAAAGAAAATTTGAGTTATTAGCTAATAGCCATTGTAAGGAGTGATTATATAAACATTACAGATGCTTACGTGAACCTTTGAACTATCTGGAACACTGGAGTCACGTAAAGTTCCTTGGCAAAAAGAAAGAGATAACAACTCATCTATTCATCCTCTAAATCCACGGCAACTTTACATTATTTTTTATGCCAGGAAAATATTTCTGGATGGATGGAAACAGAAAGTAGTAAAGTTGTGCATGCTCTTACAGCAATGCACCATCAATGGTTTTAATTTTCTGTGTTATCTGTTAATCTTACAAATGTGAATTAAACTATAATAGGAAAAAGGTTTTAGAATTTGGCAGTGATTTTGGTGTTTGTCCTGGGGGCTTATTTATTCAAGGGCACTGTTTTTATTACTGTTTTAAATAGATGTTGTGTATCTTGGTAACAGGGTTGATGATAGCACAGGGCATAAATATGCTCCTGGCCTGTAGCATTCTCTGGAATGAGCCCTATTTTAAGGTTAAGCAAGTGATAAAAACAATACAATTCTAACATAAAATTGCTTTAAACCTTCTGTAAGAAATAGCTTTTATATTTCCTAAACTGGAAACTTAATTGTCCAGCAGTAGAGACAGCATTTTCCAGACTTATTCAATAAGAAAGTATAATTTTTAAACCTAATGACTATTTAAAGGAACAAAAGTTTATAGTAATGAGATCTAGTAATATAAAGTTAGCTTGATTAGTCTTGTGTGAGGTGGCTCATGCCTTTTGTCCCAGCACTTGGAAGGTGGAGGCAGGAGGATCTCTGAGTTTAAGGCAAGCCTAGCCTACATAGTAAGTTCCGGGATATCCAGAACTACATAGTTGAGACCCTGTCTCAATCCCCCACCCCAAACACACACACACACACACACACACACACACACACCACAAACACAAATATATATAGATATAGGTGTGACTTTTCGAGGCAGTTGAGTACAAGGTAAGAGTGTAGAATATATGACCCATGCATTTAAGAACACCAGCATTATCTTTGTCTGACATTGGACATCGACAGTTCACCTCTACAGAACTTAGCGGTTAAAGTGAACTTCATTTCTGTGAGATGGTTTCCCATAACCCAGGCTGGTCATGGTCTTGCTATCTGTCCAAGGCAGATTTTGAACTTATCCTCCTGCTTCCACTGGCCAGGTACCAAAATACAGGTATGCTACTACCATTCTCATCTCTGAATAGGTTCTAAGGAACTTTCTGAATCTAAAATACCTTTGGATTGGATAGTTGTGACCATGAGGCTTGGTTTTTTATTTTAGAAAACTGTCAAAGTTGAGTGGCCTGGCTTTGTAGTTAACAAACATCTAATGCTGTATCTGAATAGCTCACCAGCCATGAGAGCAGAGACCAAGCAGCATATGGGATTTTTTAGCTTTGGTTTTTGTTTTGAATAAGTCCTTACCAGGCTGTGGTTGAACTCAAGATCTTCAGCCTACATCCTTCCACATGCTAGAATTACATCTATGCATGACTATGCCAGGTTGGCAGGCATTTTTCTTTTGGTATAAAACCAGGCAGTATTTTGGGTACCACCAACCACCTGGCCTTTCATTGCTTTTTAAAGCAATCATTTAGAAAGTGTAAGAATAGCCAGACAGTAATGGTGCACACCTTTAATCCCAGCACTCGGGAGGTAGAGGCAGGCAGTTCTCTGTGAGTTCAAGACCAGCCTGGTCTGCAGAACAAGATCGGACAGGCTCCAAAGCTACACAGAGAAACCCTGTCTCAAAAAAAAAAAGTAAAAATAGCATGGAATCTAGTGGTGGGTGTTCAATTTTTGTTGTTTGTTTTTCCAGACAGGATCTTTCTCCATA